TATAACTGAGAGACAACGTGCGAACCAACATAAACAGTGGAGAACATCGTGACACAGCGTATGAACGAGAAGCAAAGACTATGATGTAAGATGCTTGTTTAAAGCGGCTTTGAATGAGCTTGAATTTGTTGGTAGATACCCCCATTCTGACCAGCCTTTCGAACTCCAGAGAGGTCCTGTTAACGAAGAAATGGTGCCTGACGTTGCGTTTAGCCCTGCGAGTCACTACTTTCATTGAACTACCCCTCGTCCTTGACTCCCGGAATGCAAACAAGGTGTTGGGCTGAGACCAGTTTTAAAATGAAGGATCTTAAAAAATGTCAAGAGGTCGAATTTTTTCCTCCTAAGCGCAAGTGACTCAAGACCGAGGTTGAGATTACGTACGTCACTGTTCGGTATATTGTCATATCTGAACCCAACAGTTCTCATAAAAACCTTTCTCGTGAAACTATTTTGAACTTTTTCCAGAGCTTTCGCAGTTTTTATCTTGTGAGGGTTGAAAACTACAGTCCCATACTCTAGTATGGGCCTGATATAAGTTATTGAGTCGAGTGGCAATAATTCGAGTTATTTTGAAGAAAAAGCGTAAAAAAGTGTATTAAAAGGCCATGTTTTGCATGGTGTACCTACCTTTGACGGCACATCGGGATGTTTATCCCCATCGATAGGTTCTCCATGGTGCGAGCAGATCTGCAACGCAAAACTGATCATACTGGATTTTCAGATTAGAAGAAAGCAGCGTCAAATGGCATCATTATTGTTCCTATGGTGTGGTGATTGAATATCTACCAGGCCAAGAAGGTTTGTTTTCCGGCTAGGAAAAATCTGACTGCTTTAGACTCCAGAAATGGGAGCTCGTCCTCGCCGTTTCCGCTTAGAACTAGCCACCAAGACACGCTCGTTTGCAGGAGTTAACAACGTCAGCCAATTTCATGTCAACAAACATCATTCTTTGATTGATAAGTCATTAACTAGAAAAAAAACTGAGGGCCGTTCGAAGGCACGGATCGCGATCCAATTGGTTTGTCATTTTAACACGTTGACGACATCGCGCGTTTTGTGCTTTTGCACCGCGTGGGACAAGAGCGATTTTGCGAGCGCAGCCGCCGCACACCAAATCCATGGATTTTAAGTTGTAAATCGCAATACTTAGATGCGATGAAATGTTTTCAATGATGTTCGATCTGTCTAGCTTATCAGGAGTTACAGTAATGGAAGTTTGACCAAATGACGTGTTAAGGCCATGAAAAGGGAAATTTTACTTAATTTCCCTTTAGTGGTTCCAAAATTAATTTGGACGTGGTTGTTTCAGTAAAACACATATCTTCCCATACGAATAGGTTTGTATTCACTTCTGTTATTCCTTTTTATCAACATGTTTACGTTATTGAAAAGAAAACGAGGAATGAACTGAACAGACATATCCGTAAGGTCTGGAAAACCTCTGCCAAAACTA